TGACGTCCAGTCTTAAGCAGATAACGAATGGTTGATGTCATATAAAGATTTTGGAGTCAGAAGTCTGGAGTATTTTTGTGGTGCAGAATAATTAAGTTTATTGAGGTTAGATGCGATGGTAAAAATAGGAAAATGGTCTGAGAAGTCAGATAAGACTGTTCCAGAAAAGTGAGTAGTAATATTATTTGTGTAGATATTGTCAATTAACGAGGAAGAGGAAGACGTAATGCGTGTGTCAGAGATTATAAGTGGAAGAAAGTTGTACGATGATAGAAGGTTGGAAAAAGCTGATACATGAGGAACAAAAAAAAATTTATTAAGATCGAGATTGAAGTCAACAATTAAATAAGATTTATTGGGAGGTTTTAGTGTAGGTAAGATAATTTCAAGTTTGCGTAGTAGTAGATCAGGGTTGGAATTAGGCGGTCTGTAGATTGCAATTATCTTAAGTTTATGCATATTAACTGCGATGTCGACGGAAAGAAAGTCAATAACTTCATCATCCAGTACGGCTTCGCAGTTAACTGAATAGCTGATTCCCTGTTTGATGAAAATCCCGACACCACCACCTTTTTTTTAGATCTGTTTTTAAAAACAAAGTTATAATTAGGCATATTAATATATTTAACAGAGTCATTATTTAACCAGGTTTCAGAAATTATGATAAGTGGAAAAAAATTTGAAAGGGGATCGTTTAGTATTAACAAATCTGCCATTTTATTGAACAAACTACAACTATTGGCATGAATAATAGATAAATTTTTATCAGTTTTAAAAAAATTGTTAAGTATGAGATTGTTTAAATTGTTTATGGTGTAATTTTGAAAGTTATTGATAAAAATGTCTGAAAAATTAATACTGTTATTGGATGGGTTGACAGAAACTAAATCAGAAGATGTATCGCTGGAATCAGGCAGGTTAGTACATGGAGAGTTGCTTGTGTTTCTATTCATGATTGGTTATTTGTTGCTTGGCCTTTTTTTCAGTATGCAAGAAACGCCATTCTCGTACAATTATATTTTTGGGTATGATGTTGGGATCGTTGATTTTAGGAGAATCTATTTTGTCATTGCAGACACGAAACATTGATGAATCTTGGTTGTCTCGGTTGGTGTGGGGAACTTTTGATGGCTCGGTATTTTTAAATACCGGATAACATGATAACACGTTAATCCAGCATGATGATAAAAATTCGCTGACGTCGCTGGCTGAACATTTCTGGATGTTACTCATTGAGTAGACACGTTTGTTGTATGTATGTATGTTTGTATGTATGTATGTTTGTATGTATGTATGTTTGTATGTATGTATGTTTGTATGTATGTATGTTTGTATGTATGTATGTTTGTATGTATGTATGTTTGTATGTATGTATGTTTGTATGTATGTATGTTTGTATGTATGTATGTTTGTATGTATGTATGTTTGTATGTATGTATGTTTGTATGTATGTATGGT